TTGTCTCAATAATTTGTCAAAACTTGCATCATCCCGTGGGTTCCTCGTCAAGAATTCAAAGAGATGTCGTTATCAACATTATATTCACGTCATCCATCTTATCATTTTTCATACGAGAAAAATAAGAGGTCAAATACGAACATTATCTTCTCGATTCAAGGCGTGTTCTAGCAATGACACGCTCAGAAAATTATGGGCAATTTAATTCAGACAAAATTCTACATGTACTCATGAAAATCTAAATGAGAGACTTCGAATATATCAAAATAACCAATCATATATAATTTTGAATCATGTCCTCAAGCCCATCGGTGCGAGAGTGATAAACATACCCAACGCACGTCAATAACGATCGCAAAATATTCTCAGTTCAAAGTGATGACCCACATATATCCTCAAATATACAAATTTTCATGAATAAATCGATTGACTCCACTAAATCGAATATCGTCTCCACGAGTATAGCAAGTATCTCCATGAGTAAAACAATTAATCTTCATGAATAAATCAAATGTTCTCTAATTTTTCTAATTCAAAAATTCTTTGCTCCATGATTTTGATTAATTCCAAACATCATTCATAAGAATTATATCTCAAATTTACCTTCTCGTTCGCTTTTAATCGTGACGAATTAATCTTGGGCAGAAAATATGGTTGTTGGACCAAGCTAAGCTTATTTGGACCACTCTTGGATGGTTTGGTGGCTATTTGGGCACGGCCTAGGCCATTTGGGTGCAGTCTGGCACGGTTTGGGCCGCTTGGGTGCAGTCTTGAGGTAGTTGGGGCGCTCACTGGGCCGTGTAAGGTCAACTGGGCGCGGGATTGGGCCTGATGGAGGCTGAGATTAAGTGGGCCGCATGCGGGCCAAGAGATAAGGGGGATGGGCTGCCAGACGCGGGCCTCACGCCTTGGAGCTGGGCCTTCACGCGGGCTGAACACAACAAGCAGGCAGGCTGCTGTGCGGGCTGGACGCGGGCCGGAAGCGGGCCGGGGCTGAGAGCAGAGCGTGTTGAGGCGCGGGCCAATACGGGCCGCCAAG